CGTACTCGCCAAGGAACGCCAGCACCGGCCCTCGTCGGCCCCAGTCGGCCAGAAAGGCGGTGGGAATGCCGGCCAGGGCGCGTGTGATGCGAAACCCGGCCTGCTCCAGCGCATCGATGTGCAGCTGGGCCGAAGCCGTCTCGGCATAGCGCAGCTCGGCCAGCGACCAGATGCTGTCGGCCAGGGCCGCCATGCGCGCGGACTGCTGCTGGAAGAAATCCTGAAGATGATCGACCGCGCTCATTCCGGCTTCACTCCTGCCTTGTCCAGCAGCGCCTTGTTGCGCTGCAGTTCGCTGGCGATCTGGGCAGGGAAGCGGCCCTGGTCCATCTCGGTGACCGATGCGCCCAGCAGCTTCAGGTGCTTTTGCACCTCGGGCAGGCGCACGGCCTTCGTGGACGCTTCCTGCAACTGCCGGACGATGGCGGGCGGCGTGCCGGCCGGCACGACCAGGCCGAACCAGCTGATGCCCAGCTCGTTGAGCTGCGCATAGCCCAGCTCCTTGAAGGTGGGTACATCGGGCAGATCGGGCGAGCGGCTGTCGCCCGACAGTGCCACGGGGATGAGCTTGCCACCCTTGATCTGGGGCATGGCCGAAGGCAGCTGATCGGTCATCACCTGCACCATGCCCGCCAGGGCGTCGTTGAGCGCCGGGCCGTTGCCGCGATAGGGCACGATCTGGATCTGGGTCTTCATGGTCTCGTTGAAGGACGCCACCATCAGATGGCCCAGCGTGCCCAGGCCCGGCACGCCCGCACTGTAGGCGCCGGGCTGGGCGCGCAGCCTGGCCAGGAACCCCGCGAAATCCTTGACGCCCATCTTGGGATGGACCATGTAGACCGATGGCATGGTCACCAGGTTGGCCACGGGCAGGAGCCTGCCTTCCAGCCTGGCGGCGCGCGTATACAGCGAGGGGTTGATGGTGGCCGTGCTCACCGTGGCCATGCCGATGGTGTATCCGTCTGGCGCCGCCTGGGCAATGCTTTCGGTACCGATCAGGCCACCCGCGCCGGCCTTGTTGTCCACCACCACGGGCTGGCCCAGCGTGCTGCGCAGGCCTTCGGCGATCACGCGCGCGACGATGTCGGTGGAGCCGCCGGCCGCAAAGGGCACGATGAGCTTGACGGGCTTGCTCGGATAGGCGTCGGCCGCATGGGCCGTGCGGGCCAGGGTGAGGCCGCACAGCGCGGCGCAAAGGCCCGCGCCCAGGGAAAGCAGGGTGCGGCGCGGCAGGTGAGAGAGAGGCTGTAAGAGGGGCTTGGCTTGCATGGCATGGACTCCATCGACGGGGAGGGAGCCGCAGCCTGGGCCGTGCCGGCTCCCGATGCAGGCGACTATAGAAATCCTGCCGCCCGCGTGGGCCACGGTATTTGTGCCAAGCTATAAGCCGTTCCGATAGCTTGCCCTTTGCCGCCTGTGGCGCGCCAGGGCCTGCCTGGGGAAAACACCAAGATTCCCATGAGCCACGATTTTGACGACCGCGAAGGCCTGGACGATGCGGCCACGCCCCAGGGCCGGCTGCTGTTCTCGCGCCTGACCAAGCATGTGCGCCTGCGCCAGCTGCAGCTGCTGGTGGCGCTGCAGCAATGCGGCTCGGTGGTGCAGGCCGCCGCCACGCTGCACATGAGCCAGTCGGCAGCCACCCAGGCGCTGGCCGAGATGGAGCGCGTGCTCGACATCCGCCTGTTCGAGCGGCATGCGCGCGGCATACGCCCCACGCTGGCCGGCCAGACCCTGGTGGACACGGTGCGCGGCGTGCTGGCCGCGCTGGAGGAGGTGGCGGAATCGCTGGCCGCCATTCGCCGGGGCGCCGCGGCCGCGCTGCGCCTGGGCGCCATTCCGGCGGCGGCCCTGGCCATTCTTTCGCCCCTGCTGGCGCGGTTCTATGCCGAACACCCCGAGGTGCATGTCGATGTGCACGAAGACGCCAGCACCCGGCTGCTGTCCCAGCTGCTGG